CTGCGGGTTACGAGAACAGCCCGTAACCAACAGAATCTAGCCTCAGCTCTCAGATGGAAATTGCGATCACAGTGACAAAGAAGATAAACAGCCCCAAATGGTAGTTTTAAAAAAGGGAGACCTATAAGTTGAAGAAGTCATGAAAATTAAAGCAGAAATAAAAACTGCCAAAGCAGATGAAGAACCAGCATCAGTTGATGGAAGAGCCATGTACAGAAAACCAGTCAAGCATTCCCCAGATGAAAAATATTCAGGTTTAACAGTAAGCTCAAAAAAGAAGATAAATGAAAATGAAATAAATAAATTGGACTCAGTTAAAAAGAACTCACAAAAGCAAATCAAAAACAGTAGCCTTCTTGAAAAGAGAACCCTCATACATTGTTGGTGGGATTGCAATTTGGTACATCCGCTTTAGAAAACAGTCTGGAGGCTTCTCAAAAAATTAAAAATGGATATACCTTTTGACCGAGCAATTGCACTTCTGGGTATTTACCCAAAGAAAATTAAAACAATAATTTGTAAAGATTATGCACCCCAATATTCATGGCAGCACAATTTACAATAGCCAAGATATGGAAGCAACCTAAATGCCCATCAACAGACAATTGGATAAAGAAGTTATGATTCATATATACAATGGAATATTACTCAGCCATTAAAAAAATGAAATCCTACCACTTGCAATGACATGGATGGACCTAGAGGTTATTATGCTGAGTGAGAAATAAGTCAGACAAAGAAAGATAAATACCATATGATTTCACTTATATGTGGAATCTAAGGAAGAAAAAGAACAAACTAACTAGAAGTATAAATTAGTTGATAGATGGTCATGGAGATGGGGAGTATGGCAGAGAGAATGCAGTTAGCATTAATATATTGGCTAGGTGAAAAACTAGAGGAGAGAAGGAGCAATTAAGGGGATCGTTTTATAAACTATATAAATGTCTAACCAATGTACTATGTACTTAAAACTAATTAAAACAAATAAATAAAATTTTAAAAACCCAATAGCCTCCTTTCTTTTGACAATGAAGATGAAAATAAATGTAAACATTTTGGACTTAGTCTTTAAGAGTATATGGGTTGTTTTTTAAAATAGTATATTTTTCCTAAAGATAATAGCTCATTATAGAAAATTTAGAAAATACAGAAAAAAATAGTAAGATAAAAACTATGGCTATCCATCAATACCCCTTGCAATGCTAACTCTGTAGATGTTAACTACTATTAACATTTCATTTTTTCCCATATGCATGTGTATGTATGTAAATTATATTTTTTAACAAAATTGGAAAAAAAAAGAAGTATTTGTCAACATGCTTCTCTCCTAAGTTCCTGGAGAGCAGCATCACATATTATTTATATTTAAAACAGCATTTCCCTCACAGGGTTCTAAGTAAATGTTATAAAACACCCAGTGTCTGGAATTTGGGTTTCTTTTCACTGCGTCGATTATACAGTGACCCTTGGCACTGTATGTTTCCTCATCTGGGGTAGGGGGAAGGGTGAGAATTTCTTCATCTGTAAAAAGGAAAATTGTATCTTATTAGGTAGAAATGCAGGGCTGCTCTGCTGTTGTATGAGATGTAAATGTGTGTAGGAGGCTGCATGGGGGAGGTGAATAGGAGAACAATGCACTGAGCTGGTTATGCATTTATTGCTTCTCAGCTTCAAATGCACCCCTTTTGCTTGCTCTATGAAAATGAATATGGCCCCTTAAATATTTTTCCCTTCGCAAGTAGCACAATCCATGCTTTTTTTCTGTAGGATGTGCTGGAGAGAGACTGTAGAAGAATCGAGTTTTGCTTCTTGCTTCCCATTTGCTTTCTAAGCAGGCTGCTGCAGAGTGCAGCGCACACACACACACACACACACACACACACACACACACACACACACACACACACACCAGGGTATATTTCCATCAAGTTCCACCAGTGCAGCACCCCAGTGACTTGTCTCATTCTTTGAGTCGTAGTTGTGCCTCTTCAGTGCACTCTCAGCCCTAGAGGTAGTAGCTGTTCCTTAG